TGTCCATTGACAAGCTGAGCAAACAGCTGGTTTGTTACGGGCGTGTATTTTACTCTGCTGGAAGACCCTACGATCATTACGCTGAAGCTATTAATTCCATAGCCTCGAAATAGCCTGCTATGAAAAGTCAACTGCTAAAGGCCTGGAACCGTGCTTTTGCTGGATAAGGACGAGCTCACGGCCTACCATTTAGCAATGCCTTGGCAGGTTTTACTTTCTGCTATATTCCTATGTTTGGCTTGGGGGTGGACTGATATGGCTGGTATGTTTATCCTATGTTGGGGAGCATTACCGTGAATTGGAGCATTTTTGCAGGCGACGAGAAGGACCTTCTATTACCTTGTGATACCAGCTTCATAAACAGTTTTGCTCTTTTGCCTCAGAGGAACCAAAAAACCAGGTTCGCTGCGGCCAGACATCAATGTGCGAACTGGGACATCCTTGACCGTTTAAGGGTAGTCCTTTTGGCATTTCAAGCTATAGCAGAAGTTCGGTCAAACCCTGCAACTACGCTTCAAAAAATTTATGAGCGAGCTTGGATTGGGTTCCGTGAAGTTTAACCTTGATACTCTGGATTTAGGCCGCTTTCGCCCTGGTGGAGCAACATAGATATGTTACAGAAAATTCAGAGTTTTTGCGGAGAAGAGGATTTTGGACAATGGAGATTTATTTCCAGGAGTGGTCATCGTTTCTTATTTTCTCTGCTATCCCTGAATTAGCACGGTACAAAGTCTATACCTTGTGCGATTTCTTCTTTACAGCTCTGGTTAAATCTGAAGAATTCTGGATGGCACGTTTTCGGATAATCTATGGTTTTGCTTTGGTTTGGACAAGTTACAAGGAACTGAAGGGAGAAATGGGTCAACTTCAGCGACGCTTGTGAGAACCGTCTTTGCTGAAGTCTGTGCATAACAACTCACGCAGTGCATAGCTGGCATGGAAAAAAGTCAGTGCAACCGGAGATCTTGCACTTCTAAGTTCGATGGTGAAATGCATGTTCCTTGCCGCTCAAGACAACCCTCCCTGCACTACGTCCCATCCCTTGAGCAGTCCATCCAAAGCAGGGTCAACTTCAGCGACGCTTGTGAGAACCGTCTTTGCTGAAGTCTGTGCATAACAACTCACGCAGTGCATAGCTGGCATGGAAAAAAGTCAGTGCAACCGGAGATCTTATATATATATTATGCAATATTTATATACACATACATGCGTACATCAATATCAACTAGTTAGTTGTGTAATTTCGTAATTGCATAGTTGCATAACATTTTAATATATTTTTCATTGTTCATGCAGATTTCCACATTTTTTCATTTAATTTTCATCTAATTGTCACATAATTTTCGTATGATTTTCATATAATTGCACAACTTCCCAATTACATAATTACATAATTACAAAATTACATGATTGCATGATTACACAATTACATACCTACCTACCTACCTACCTACCCTTACCCTTTCCCTTACCATTACAACTACCCTTACCCTTACCCTACCCTATCTACGCACACGTACGTACATACACATATCTGTATAAGTCTTTAAAATATACTCAGCTAGAATGGATGTACATACCATACACATGCACTATTTTTCATGTCATATAACTCTGCCATACACATACACCTACTTTTTTTTTGGTAGGTCGAGAATCAGCTATGTCAGCCATGCAAATGCAATCTGGTAGGTTTGACACAGCAGTGGGTCAGACCCCAGAGGGCGACTTGGTTTACGCAAGGCTGCCGCAAAAAGAGATTTGCGGCTGGGAATGTCTTGACAGCCCAAGGTCATGATCCATTGGTATAGATAGATAGATATATATATATGTATATATTCAGTATATGTTGGGCCTAACTATAGTTGATATCATTCTTGTAACCCCACTGTGATATTCATTAAATATCAAGGTATATGTAAACCTATGATGAATGGGAAAGGCACCCCATTGGTCGAAGCTGTTGAAGCTGGCGCAACCGATTCTACATGGTATGAGGAGCTCCATTTGACTCATAGTTTTGAGATTTTGAGATGGGTTGAACCCACTATACACATACTCAGATATATACATATGCTGAGTATGTATGTATATATATATATATACATATTTGTATAGATATGCATAGATACATACGTTGGGTTGGTTCTTCCCCAGATCTGTAGAAACTGTGGTTTCAGAAGGCCAAACGCAGTGTCGAAGACTGAATCGGTGGGATAGACTTTTTTCAACTGTGGTTGGGTCCATTCATAGACTCCAAACAACACCATTTTTATGAAGTACCATCTGGTTATTTAATATAGCCATGGAAAATGGCCCATTTATAGATGGTTTACCTGGGTTTACCTATTAAAAATGGGGATTTTCCATGGCTATGTTAAATAACCAGATGGTAAGTAAAACAGAGATAAACAAAGTAAACAACTGTGCCAGTGAGCCAACCCTTTGCCAGTCTGAATCAACAATGGATCTGGTCTGGCTCTGTACTGTGACCCTGAAGATGGCCGAAAAATGGTTACTCAATAAATCAACAGGGGGGAATAAAATTGGGACATCGACTTGCCTTTGTTTGAGTACATACTCAGTTTACTCCAATTCCTACCTAACAAAATTGCGGAAACCCAGCCTAACAATGGAGAATCCCACAAAATCTCCATTCACACCCTCCAGTAGTCAAAGATGGCTGGTTGGATTCCCTCTTTTGTAGAAGTTTAGTTCGCAAATTCATCGAAGTAAATGGGGAATGATCCAGCAAGCCATGCAAAAAAACCCGGGTGAACAAACTGTGGATGTTCCAGCCTTGATGTTCCAGCTGCGCAAGGAGCCGGAGCTCATAGAAAGTGGTGAAGAGGACGAGGAATGAGAAATTCCGCGGCGAAACCTGGGATGCATCAGATGGCATGGAGAATTTCATGCACCAAAAACCATGGGAAAACACAAGCGGATTTTTAAATTGATCTTACCCTCTGGTAAACATACAAAAAGCTATTGAAAATTGCCATTTATAGTGGATTTTCCCATTAAAATTTGTGATTTTCCATAGCTATGTTAAATTACCAGAGGGTAACTTGATTTTGGAATTTAGCATCAAAACTGGGATTTGAACACACAGGCGAATTCTATGTAACCACCAAATATGGGGATTTCAATATAAACAATGGGATCAATCAATCTATCTATCTATATACATATGGTAAGGGAAGCTCAAAATCATGGACGCCAAAAGTTTGGGTGGCCTTAGCATTAGCCACATTGGGACTACTGTAGGATGGAGACAGGGGCTTAGCAGTCGTTATGCCAAGGATCTAGCTGGGTCAAGGTAGAATCCGAGTCGATGAACATGTACAAATGGTTTCCAACTGGACCACTTTGTGAACAGTTGTGACGCTTTGTTTTCACCCCTCGCAAAGAAAGAATGCTGGCTGCCGCAGTGGTGTGTGTTTGCCTGAAGTGGAAACCGGCTTGGAAGCCTGCAAGTTACAAGGCAATTTGAGAAGTAGTCTACCTCCCTTGTGACTTACTAGAAAAGAGTGCAAACCACTTACACCTCCCTGAGCTCTCCACAGACTAACTGAAGCGATTTCTGGAGAATTTCCGACCGCAGAGAAGATAGAGAGGCTCAAAGTTCGGCTTCCAGATCATTCGAGAGAAGGCATTCGAAGAAAAAACATGTTCCACCAAAATCTCAGATTTATGAATAGCCTCTGGTAAACTAACATAGCTATTGAAAATGGCCATTTATAGTGGATTTTCCCATTAAAAATGGTGATTTTCCATAGCTATGTTAAATTACCAGAGGGTATATCCTCTAGGTATTCAGTTATCTCCATGGCATGCTGGAGAATCCCCCAGCATTCGATGATGTTCCCAGCAAACCCTGACTCCACATCAGACGTCCCGCGTTGCGCGGCATGGCCTGCATGGGGCTGTTCTCGCGGCAGAGACGAGGAGAGACTGGGGGACTTTACAACTACGGTACTATATATATATATATGTTATATGTATGTATGTATGTATGTATGTATGTGTATGTATATGTATATGTATATGTATATGTATATGTATATGTATATGTATATGTATATGTTAATGTATATGGATATGCATATGCATATGCACATGTATATGCATATGCACATGTATATGCATATGCATATGTATATGTATATGTATAAAGAATTGTATACATATATATATAAATTTAATTGCATATATATATAATATTATCATATCTAGATCCGGATTTTCTGAAGATGATTATTTTTTCCCAATGGGAAATCCACTACGACTGGGGAATCTATAAACATTTTGTATTTTCTTGGGGGTTCAGCACCGCCCGTAGCTCCTTGGGCAGTGGGGATGGACTTCACCAGTTCACTATGGAAAATCACCATTTTTCATGGGGAAATCAACGAACTAAATGACCATTTTCAATAGCTATGTAACAAACTACCAGAGGGTATGTGGTTTTGTTGTTCCATTCTGGGAAATGCCAACATTGCAAGCAGTTCTCTGACATGGGAGTGACGTTTCCCATTTTGGGGGTTTGTGCACCACTTTGTACATCTAGCCGTGAGGTTTCAACTTGCTCTGTTTCACTCTGAGACATGGCACGGCAAAAAAGACGAAGAATTCAGCATTGAAATCCACGGGTGGTGGGACATACCAGTGAGAAATGCCTAACACAATTTGCCTTCACCAACAGCATAGTTATAGGTTATCATATTTCAATTAACGGGCGTTACAACCATTATTGCACCCATTTATAACCTCAACTTGCATCCCTAACCCAAGAAGAAGCTTTGCATCCACCACATGGCGGGTCCCCCCAGTTGTAAATTGGTTTATAACATTTTATAACACCCATTGCTTATAGCTACATCTATTGCAACGGATAGTGAAATTGGAGTATTGGAGTTGTGTTCACCAGTTAGCTATCATAAATCAGCTATACATTCCATTAAATGAAGCTTTTTTCCTGCTTAACTCACCAAATGAGG